AAAAAAAAAAAGGAAAAATTCGCACCCACTGTGGGGAACCTTTAAACATACGAAGCACTGTTACAAAAGATGGAAACTGAGCCTGGAGATGTGGCTTGGCTGCTGGAATGCCTGTCTGGCATGGGTGAAGCTCGGGTTCCATTTTCAGAATCACATAAACCGACTGCCCGGGCAGAGCTCGCCTATAATCCCAGCACTTGCTAGGTGGGGGCAAGAGGGTTGGAAGCTCAAGGTGTACTCGGCTACATTGTGAATTCAAGGCCAGCTTGGCCTACATGAGACATATCACAAAAGAATAGGAAGAAGGCCTGTGCACACCTTTAACCCCAGTGCTCAGGAGGCAGAGGCAGGCGGATCTCTGAGTTAGTTCCAGGAGAGCCAGGGCTATACAGAGAAAAACAAAGAATAAAAATAAAATTGCCCATCACGCACGCATCGTGTCATGATTGCGGTGTATTTTAACGATAAGGCATAACAAGCAACTGATGTTTGAGTGGCTTGGATTTAGGGCAGGCTGGAGCTGTGTAAGTGGTCTGTGGGCTTTCACTGAATGGGGGCAAGGATGCTTTAATTACCTATCCCACAAAGCTGATGCCGGTTCCTGGTTGCAGGCGGAGCTGACCTGGAAGTCTCTCATTGGCCACTGTCCTTTCTAAAGAAGTCACTTGCCTTCCAGAGTCCACCTGCACTGAGCTGCTGGGGACTCTTCGGGAGCTGAGAATGGCACTCTTCAGGCAGCTGTCCCTGGGTTCCAAGGCTGCCCTGGCTGCAGCCACTGTCTTCGTGTCCATGATCCTGTCCCGCTCCTTTCTGGCCGAGACCCTTGAGCTCCAGGCCTGGCGCTGGCTGTTTCGCCTGCAGCTGGTCCTGTTTGTCAACTCGCTCATGCTCATTGGTTCCTTGTACATCTGGCGGAGCACAGTGAGCAACCTCAGCCATTCCCCTGTCGTGGAATCTACCTGTTTCCAGCTTTGGAAGCTAGTTGTCACGGCATTTCTGGCCCTGGCACATTCCAGTTTCTTCACCATGCTCTTCTTGGTGGCCGAGGAACCCTATGTGTTCTCCTTAGCAGCCTACTCCTGCCTGGGGGCTTACATCATCATGGTTTTCTTCCTTTGTATCTTGAATGCCATGGAGCAGGCCTACCAGTTCTTAGCCTGGCGCAGTGGTAGGGTAGTAGGCAGCCTTGACAAGACAAGACACCTGGTGCTCAGGCCTGCCCTCGCGGTGGCGGTGACAGCTGTCCTCAGTACCATTGGCCTTCTGAATGCTGCCCAGCCCCCAGTGGTGAAAACCGTGGAGGTGCCCATCCCTCAGCTCCCGGCCTCTATGAATAACCTCAGGATTGTGCTCCTCTCGGACATTCACTTAGGGCCCACTGTGGGCAGGACCAAGATGGAGATGTTTGTGAGGATGGTGAACACTCTAGAGCCAGACATCACAGTGATTGTGGGTGACCTCTCGGATTCGGAAGCCTCCATCCTGCAGACGGCAGTGGCTCCTTTGGGCCACCTCCGGTCCCGTCTTGGCACCTACTTCGTCACGGGTAATCATGAGTACTACACATCAGATGTCAGCAACTGGTTCACACTGCTGGAGTCCTTGCATGTCCGGCCTCTGCATAATGAGAACGTGAAGATCTCTGCCCCTGGGGACCAGGACAGTGGTGGGGCTGGTAAAGAGTGGGTCTGCTTGGCGGGCGTGGATGATATAGAAGCAGACATCCTTCACTACTCTGGCCATGGCATGGACCTTGACAAGGCTCTGGAGGGCTGCAGCCCAGATGATACCACCATCTTGCTGGCTCACCAGCCTTTGGCCGCCAAGAGAGCCCTCCAGGCTCGGCCGGATATAAACTTGATCCTTTCGGGACACACTCATGCAGGGCAAATCTTCCCCTGGAATGTCGCAGCCTATCTCCTGAACCCCTTCTTTGCTGGACTCTACCAAGTAGGCCGGGCCACATTTGTGTATGTCAGCCCTGGCACAGCCTACTATGGGATACCCATGAGGTTGGGGAGTAGGGCGGAGATCACAGAACTCATCCTGTGGCGGGCTCCCTAAGCCCGCCCCAGTGGTCCTGGCCCTGCCTTGCCCTTGCCCAACACCTCTGTCCATCTCCTGCTCCAGCCCAGCCCTGCCAGCACCCCTTTGACCACAGCCTGGGAAATAGCACTTGCAATGGGGTTGGCAAGTTCAGACTGGTTTACCAGTTCAGATCATCAATTGCTTTTGATAGCACGCCTGTGAGTCCACTCATCCACATAAATGCAAACACATTTGTTTTCCAGCTGCTGTGGAGAGGGGTCCCTTTGCAGAGGGTGGGGTCGTTGGAAAGGACACCTCTTGGCTCAGTCTCAGGGAGGGGCAGAAACACTTGTCTCCTGTGGTTTTAACCCTGGTTAGGACTTAGGTGGATTCTGGAGTTTCTTCATCTAGAGACAGTTGGTTTGGGCATGGACCATGTTGAGAAATCAAAAAGAGATGAATGCCTTCCCTCTGCTTGCTGGAGGAGTGTATCCCTTTCCTCCTCAGTTCAGTCAAGGTCACCCTCATTGAGGACATCAGCAGGACCGGCTGGAACACACGGCCCTCCTGTCTGGACCCTGAGGGTTGCTGATTGCTGTGCTGGGTGGCTGGAGAAGAAATCATGGGAACGGTGGTAGGCGATGATGACTCTGCAGTGGCTTAAGTTCTTGGTGGCTCTGAATCCTGGTTCTGTCTTTGGGTGGCAATTAAGGATAGACGGCTTCCATGTTTGGGGTGGAGGAAAGGACACTGGATGTGATGAGGTATGGCAGAGTGGCTCAGTGACAAAGTGCTTGCCCAGGAGGGGCCAACCCAGCATCACAAAAGTGTATGTAAGGGGAAGAGGGAGAGAGAGGGAGAGGAGAGAGAGAGAGAGAATCTGTGTATATGAAGGGGGAGCTGAGTCCTTGTGAAAGTTCATTTTATGGCTCAATGAATAAGTAGCTTTAGTGGCCATGGTGAACGCAGGATTCTAAGTACAGATAAACATTAAACAAGGCCCTAGAGCCCCATGTTCCCTTCAAAGTAGTTTCTTGTTTGAAGCTGGCTTCAGTTCACCCATACCTAGATGGAGCGAGGCCTCTAAGAGTTGCTAATTGCAGGAGGCCATCTGTTATAGTTGAATGAGCCAGGAGATTGGAACCCCCTACTCATTACCCCAGGTTTGGGTCTGATATTTTTTGTGAGAAGCTGACATGGGTGTGATCCAGCTCTGCCCCTGCAAATTCCCCCAGGCCCTGGCTATGCAATGACAGGGCTGTCTTACCTGGTGGGGGCATTCTAATCCATCTGCCATAGCCTCTGGCCACAGAAGCATACTAGACCCACAAGGAAAACAAAAGGAGCTGTCTTGTGCAATGTCTGCAGATCTGTTGGTCTAGCCTTTGCCAGGGGCCAGAGAGACTTTGCTTTTTGCATAGCAGAAAGCTGCTCTGAGGAAAAGGCCTTACTGAGATGTGATCAGGACCATCTGGGTAGCTCAGACTCAGGGCCAGGAGTCCTCTGGAAGGACATACATACGCCCTCTGCTTGGAGAGGGGTTTCCTGCTGTTTATGAGGAAGGGTTGATGCCTGGCAGTGACGAGTCCTCCTAGATTCTTGACTTCCATCCGCCCTGAAACGGGCATAGTTTCTACCTCGAGGCTGCTTTGCTGAGAAAATGTTGCGTCTGTCCCCACAGTCTTCACTTAGTGTGATGTTCTAGCACTAATCCGTGCTAATCAGAGACCTGCTAAGGAATGTGCCTGGAGAGTCTCAGGGGCAGCCAGTCCTGGGGACTGTCAGTGGGTGGCATGCTGCCCTGCAGCAGAGCCCAGATGTCCATGTGATACCTACTAAGTGCCTCCTTCCTGCCGTGTACACACTGCTTTGTACATGGGGCTTCTTCATCTTCTTGTCCTTGTGGTGTGATGGGGTCTGGGGGGTGTAGGAAACTACTCGGGCATTCTTGTCTCCAGGTAGATAGGGCCATCCAACCTCTAATCCCCAGCTCTCAGCGGTGGAGACAGGACAATTAGGAGTTCAAAGCTAACAATGAGCTACTAGTGAGTTTGAGGCCGTCCTGGGCTACATGGGCCCCTGTCTTGGGGTGGGGAGAGAGAGAGAAATGCACTTTGTCATGAAACTGTGACCGTCTCCTCCCCCTCCCACCTCACACAGGATTTCAGTGCACTGGGAGAGACTTTCTGAAAAACAAAACAAAACAAAACAAAACAAAACACGATTTATCAATGGGCTTCTAGGAGAGGCCACCACTCAGCCTGTAGCTCTCCCAGAGCCTTTTAGGCACCACTCCCCCCTGCCACCTCCAGCAACACAATGATCACTTTCTCCAGTGTTCTCCATTTCCGGTGGCTCAGCCCCTTTTGGGGGTCATGACTGCCCTCTGATCCACTTTTCTTTGCATCTCAGCGGACAGAGTTGACATCTTTTCACTCCAGGCTCCAGGTGACATTCCTGTTAATTTTTTCTGGTTCCTTGATCTCTGGATCTTTCTCTTCGAGGCACTAGGCTTGATGAAGTTAGCTTTGGCCATCCTGGGTCTCTCGTGTTTGATACCATCATGTTGGGATCCATGTGCCCGTCATCCATTCTGTTGTTTTTATTTTAGAGGCAGGGTCTTGTTGTGTATACCAGATGGCCTTCAACTTACAGTCATCCTCCTGCCTCTGTCTCCCAAGAGTTGGATGCCAGGCGTGCGTCACCACGCCCGACTCCTTCATCCTCTCTGAACAGTCTGTTTCACTGAATACTTTTCTGTTAACAGAAGGGGTTGGGCTACACCTCACTGGTAGAGAACTTGCCTAGCACGTGGGAGGCCCTAGGCTCAGTCTCAGGACCATCACAGAAAGGGAAGATAGTGAGCAGAGCAATGAGGTGGCTCAGCCCGTGACAGCCCCACAAAGCCTGACTTCTGAGCTCGCTCGTGTGTGGTACCAGGTGTGTGCCCACATTTATACATGCATCACGTAGCACACACACACAATAGCATGAATAGAGCAATCTCTGAAGACATGAGACTGCCCGCTCTTGTGTAGAAGGGAAACAGCTGTTCTGTGTTCTCCTCAGCTCTTCTGTGTCCTGCTTGTTTGCTCCTTCACTTTCTTCGCTTCCGGGTTAGGCTCCATGTAGGCTCGCAGGTGTTCATGGAATTCCTTTCTCCTCCTCCTCCCTCCTTGACTGGGATTCACTCTCTTCCTGCCTCAGACCCTTGACTCTTGGGATCACAGATAGTGCCACCACCACATCCGTCCTCTTACAGTCGTGTTTATTTTGTGGTACCAGTCGTAATGTCCCCTCTTTCCTTTATAAATTCAGTTGTTCAAGTGTAGCTAAAGGGTTGCCAATTTCATTGCCAAATACCAGTTTTGCTTATTCTTTTGTGCTGTTTTTGTTTTTTTCTGGTTCCTATTTCATTGATCTCTGTTCGGGTGTTTTGGTTTGGTTTCTTTGTTGTTATTGTTGTTTTTTGTTTGTTTGTTTTGAAGACAGGGTCTCAATATGTTACCCTGTCTGGCCTGGAACTCACTACATAGACCAGGCTGGCCCAAAACTCAAGGAGATCTCCTGCTTCAGCTGCCTGAGTGCCGGGATTAAATGAGTGATTAAATGAGTGCACCGCCGAGCCCTGTTCTTTCTCCAATTTCTCAAGGAACTGTTTTTTTGTTTTTCAAGTCAGGGTTTCTCTGTTGAGCCCTGGCTGTCCTGGAACTCGCTCTGTAGACCAGGCTGGCCTGGAACTCACAGAGATCCACCTGCCTCTGCCTCCCGAGTGCTGGGATTAAAGGCGTGCACCACCAAAACCGGGCAGAACTGTCTTTTTATGATTCTTTTTGGTTTGAATCAAAGTCTGAAAATTTTCCATATGTTGTGCATGCACCATCTCTTTAAGTCTGTAACATTCCTCTTGCACCTGTGTGCGGAAAGAAGTAAATGAAAATAATTGAGAACATCTTTATTTAATGTGTATTTTAATTTAAAATTGTGTGTGTGTGTGTGTGTGTGTGTGTGTGTGTGTGTGCGCGCGCTACAGTGCTAACATGGCGGTCAGAGGTCAGCAGGAGGAACTAGTTCTCTCCTACCATGTGGGTCTCTGGGATCGAACTCATGTTTTCAGCTTGGTGCCATCGCACCTTTCCTCAGCTATTTTTTTTCTTTTAGATTTATTTTTATTTTTAATCATGTGTAGGTTTTTGTGTCTTACACGTGGGTATATGCACATGTGTGCAGGTGCCTGAGGAAGCCAAAGGCCCGGAGCTGGGATTGGAGACGGCCAGGGGCTGCTTGACTTGGGTCCCCCGAATCACTGAGCCATCTCTCCAGCTTCTTATTTTTATTTTTTTAAAACTATACATTTGTCTTATTTTTCCACCTGAGATAGAGGGACAGAATTAAGCTGGTTGGGAGTGCAGGAGGGTTAGGGTCCAGACCCAAAGTGCCCGTTGCTCTCTGCCCTCCATTTTGCTATCCTCTGCCTCTCCCGTGGTAGTATCTTCTATTTAGCCAGACCTTTGAAATGTGAAAAAGTTTTTAGCACAGACATATATGAATAAGCAGAGATATGGGATAGAGGAGGCATCCACAAATCTGTCCCTAGGGGTACTGACGGTCACCATAGACCTCAGTTTCTGCTCTCCCCCAGCCTGTCTGAAGTGACGTGCGGACCACAGCAGCCTCTGGGCTTCTGATCATCTGGAATCCTTCTTGACTTTCTCTTTGATATGTGACCTTAGGGACCATAGAGGCACACCTGCAAAGCCCTCCCAGCTGCTCCCCCTCTTCTCATGGCCCTGGGTTGCTAATGGTCAGCTGGGTTTTTCTACCCTGGAGCTGAGGTGTCCCTGCCAGGAGCTCCACAGGCCCCTGGGGTGAGTTGACAGGGCTTGTGGAGATCCATTGGTAGGAATTTCCCAGCTTTCTCCCAAAAGACCTGGAGGCCAAGATCTTGACCAGTTCGTAATGACCCTTAACCTGTGATGTCACCAAGCTGCTTTTCCTCTTTGTTCCAGTCCAGGGTTGTGCACAAGGGATGCAGATATATTTATTTTTAGCACCGAGGACTAGAACTCTTGGGGGAGATGTTCAAGTTGCCCATTGATGCCTATACTGTTACAGTTAATGTTTTGTTTTGTTTATGATACTTACAACTGAAAAAAAAAATCACACTGGTCAGTATTAGACCCTTGAGGAGTACTTGGTCTACGGTGTTTTGTTTGTACTGCCTTTTTCTTTTTTTAAAACTCCAATATCATCTGCATTATGTGTATAGTGGGGGCAGGGACTCAAGGGGGCCTGAACATCCCATGTGGTTGCTTGGAATTGTGTTTTGCTTTATGTTCTTGTGGTTTTCTACTTTGTGAACACTTATGCCACTACACCCTGCAAGTGTGAAATAAAGATTTATCTTTCATGATGCCATTTCAGTGCCCATTCATTCAGAAGGGGTTGAACTGTGCGCTGGGCAGATCTGAGGGTTTTTTTTTTTTAATCACCAGAAGCTAGTTTTCTGCCTTTCCTTTTCCTCCTTTGCTTTCTTCTTCCTCCTCCTCCTGCTCCTTGCTCTCCTTCCTCCCTCTGCTCCTCTTCCTTCCCCCCTCTCTCCTTCTGCCTCCTCTTTTAAAAAAGATTTTATGGGGGCTGGAGAGGTGGCTCAGTGGTTAAGAGCACTGGCTGCTTTACCCGGGCTCCAGAGTTCAATTGCCAGCAACCACATGGTGGCTCACAGCCATCTATAATGAAACCTAGTGCTCTCTTCTGGCCTGCAGGCACACATGCAGGCAGAGCACTGTATACATTTTTAAAAAATAAAATAAATATTTTATTTATTATTTATTTGCATGTGTGTGCCTGTGTGAGTTTATGTGCACCCTGTGTGCAGGAGGCCAGAATAGGGAGTCAAGTCCTGCATAGCTGGAGTTACAGGTACCTGTGAGCTGTTGAAGGGGGTGCTGGGAACTGAACGTGGGCCGATGCTGCACAGCGAACGTTCTCTTTACCTCCCCAGCCCTCCTCCCACTTTCTGATAACCTTTCATGTATCAATGTGGCTGTAGCTCAGGAAGTCCAGAAGAAACTGGCTGTTTAGGTTGGATCTTATTGGAGTCCTTTAGTGTCGAGAGGGATTTCTTTGGAGCCACCAAGTGGATTTTCCTTGGCAGTGAATGTTAGAGATGACTGTCCGAGACGTGGTGGCGAATACTTTAATACCAGCACTTGGTAGGCAGAGGCAGAAGGATCTCTGTGAGTTTGAGGCCAGCCTAGTCTACAAAGTGAGTTCCAGGATAGCCAGGACTGTGACACAGAGAAACCCTGTCTTAGAAAAAAAAAAAAAAAAGTAACTGAAGTCTGAGCAGTGGTGGTTCATGCCCTTTACCTTTAATTCCAGCACTTGGGAGACAGAGGCTGACAGATTTTTTTTTTCTTAAGATTTTATATATTAACTATATATACAGTGTTCTGCATGTATGCTTACTCACCAGACGAGGGCACCAGATGTCATTATAGATGGCTGTGAATCACCATGTGGTTGCTGGGAATTGAACTCAGGACCTCTGAAAGAACAGTCAGTGCTCTTAATCGCTGAGCCATCTCTCCAGCCCCAGACAGAATGTTTGAGTTTGAGACCAGCCTGGTCTACAAAGTGAGTTCCAACAGCAGGGTGGTGGTGTTGCATGCCTCTAACCCCAGCACTCAGGAGGCAGAGGCAGGAGGATCTCTGTGAGTTTCCATTCCAGCCAAGTCTACAGAGTAGGTTCTAGGACAGCCTCCAAAGCTACCCAGAGAAACAAAAAAAACAAACAAAAGAAAGGAAGGGCCGGTCGTTGGTGACCCATCATGCCTTTAATCCCAGCACTCAGGAGGCAGAGGCAGAGGCTGGCGGATCTCTGTGAGTTCAAGGCCAACCTGGTCTACAGAGTGAGTTCCAGGACAGTCTCCAAAACAATACAGAGAAACCCTGTCTGGAAAAACCAAAAAAAAAGAAAAGAAAAAGGAAGGAAGGAAGGAAGAAAAGAAATGACTGTCCTTTAGATTTCCCCTCTGCTGTTAGCCTTACTGGTTCTTTGAGAATGCCCTCTTCCCTGGGTAATTTGATGTTCATGTATTGATGAACAGGACAGTCTACGGATGTCGTGTGAGTTATTTTTCTTTTCGTTTTTCAAGACAAGGTTTCTCTGTGTAGCCCTGGCTGTCCTGGAACTCCCTCTGTAAGACCAAACTGGCTTTGAACTCAGAGATCTGCCTGCTGGGATTGTAGGCATTCGCCACCATGCCCAGTTTAAGTTACTGTTCTTATTGCTCTGACAAAGGCAATTTATGGAACAAAGGGTTTATTTGGGCTCATTCTTTAAAATTATTACATTTATTTATATGTGTATGTATGTATATGTGTGCATTACACGCATGTGGAGATCACAGGACAACTTTTGGGCATCTGTTCTTTCCACCATGTGGGTCCTGGGGACCCAGCTCTGGTTGTCAGGTTTGGTGGCAAATGTCTTTACCCTCTGTGCCATCATCTCACTGATGCTGTTTGGCTCACAGTTGAAGGAGCTGCAGTCCATCCTGGTGGGGGAGGCTTGGTGAGGTATGGCCATGCTGTGTAAACAATCGGGAAGGAGAGTTGGCCTATAAAACCTCAAGACCTGCCCTCAGTGACAGGCTTTCTCCAGCAAGGGTCTACCTTCTAAGTATTCCCCAGCCTTTCAAAACAATGCCATTATCTGGAGACCAGATGTTTGGACTCTATGCCTATGTATGACATTTCACATTCAAACCCTGACAGATGTCCTAACAGTCATGGTCTCATGTGACACAGAGTTGGGCAGTGACTGTAGCCCTGTGGCAGGAGAGGGTGAGTACTACTTCCTGCCTGCTCACACAGACTGCTTTTGTGCCTTTTGAGGGACAGGGTTTGAAAAGATTCCCACATGGTCTACAAACTAAGTGCTGGAAGCCATGTTCTTATGATAACCTACACCCTGGTGGTATCTGCTCTTGGAGCCATGCTTAGGAATAAATAACCCAGTGCCATCCACCATGATGTTTCTGCTGTTAGTAGGGCCCCACAGGTGGGTCAGATGGAATTCGATGGAGATGACTTTTAAATGTTGGTGGAGGAGAACCTTGTAGCTATGCCAGGAGTGTGGTTTCCTCCAAGTTTATCTTTTTGTTTTGTTTGTTTGTTTGTTTTTTGTTTTTTGAGACAGGGTTTCTCTGTGGTTTTGGAGGCTGTCCTGGAACGAGCTCTTGTAGACCAGTCTGGTCTCAAGCTCACAGAGATCCAAGAGTGTTGAGATTAAAGGTGTGCGCCACACCACCCGGCTCCTCCAGGTTAATCTTTTTTTTTTTTTTTTTTAAACTTATTTATTTATTATGTATACAGTGTTCTGCTTGCATGAATGCCTGCAGGCCAGTAGAGGGCACCAGATCTCATTGCAGATGGTTGTGAGCCACCATATGGTTGCTGGGAATTGAACTCAGGACATTTGGAAGAGTAAGCAGTGCTTGTAACCGCTGAGCCATCTCTCCAGCCCCCTCCAGGTTAATCTTAAGGAAGAGTAAAAAATTCTGAAACATTCACTGGATTCATAAAAGCCCTTGTACATGGCGAGGGTTCTGCTAGCTGTTGATAGGGAAAATCATTTTGGTCTAAGTTTGCAATCCCTCAAGGAAAATACGGTAGGGAGCACTGTACTTCTGGGCTCCATTGTGTGAAGGACTTGGGCCTTCCCGGGATTGACAAGGGAGAATGATGGCCTGTCACATTTCCTTGTATATGTATTGGTTTAAACTGTACTGACAATATTCCTAAGGCCTGGGTGTTGTAATTTAAGAAAAGCAGCTCTCGAGAGAAAGATGCCATGCAACAGGGTTTAAGCAGAGGGGTTTTTATTAGGGAAAGGGATCATAAAAAGGGGAGGGGGAGACCGGCCTTCAGTGGCTGCAGCTGAGGGCGAATTCTGTCAGAACCCCAAGGACAGGCCAGTACAGATGCCTGAATACTAACACTGGGTACACCTCTGTCCTGAGGACACAGGTGGATACCCTAAGTCCCGTTGTTGAGGGCTTGGGAATATTGCTTGTGCTAGTCGTCACACTGTAGGGCCTTCCTTCAGGGGATCCACTCGCCCTGGCTTAAACCCTGTGTCAGGAAAGTGACCAAAACAGGGAACTGGAAAAGGGCATTTAGTGGCAGACATCGGCCTTTGCCTGTCTCACCACACGGGGATCCTTTGACTTCCAGGCCACTGCCTGTGGTCACTACTGGGAACTGTGTCCCTCGACTTATGATATTTACAGTGGTCCCCCTTGGTAGGGCTGCGATCTTGTCATCCCCAGTGTCATCATTCATCTGTTGAGGACACTCCATGGGGATTCATTGATGTCCCACTGAGGGTCCATCTCTGGGCCTCCTGAGGCATGTGGTTTATATAGTCAGATGGTGGATTCTCTCATGTCCGTCTTTGACCCATTGCTTCCTCAGGGTCATAGGCACTCCTGGCCTCTTCCCTTCCCTCCTGCTGGCTGCTGCCATGTTTGTGTCCAAGAAACCATTCCATGAGCTTAGGGGTCAGAGCCAACAGCAGGGGGATGGACAGCTCACGGGTCACGGCAGATACCCTGCTCCAGGGTCCCTCCACCTGGCTCTTCTGGTAGGAGACGAGGGTCCCTGCAGATACCACCACACAAGCGTGTGACACTAAAGGCTGCCCTGAACCATGCCGTCCTTCTTCAGAGCTTCCAAACCTGTTAACCAAGCCAGCCAGCCTTGCGGTCTGTCCAGTTCCTGGTAAACTAAAAGAGCTAAGTTACGTGCCAACTCCTGCATGAGGTGATTCTTTCACAGGTAGAAGAGCGCTGGCTGTGCAAGCCTGACGAACTGAGTTCAACCCCATAACCTGCGGGAAGGAGGAGGGAGCGCACTGACTCCAGGGTTGTCCTCTGATCTCCTCATGAGTGCTGTGGCGTATGTACAGCCCCACACATGCCATACATACACACATATACACACACATATACACACTCATACACAACATATATACACACTCATACACACACTCACACATGTATACACACTCAGTCTCATACACACACACACACTCAGTCTCATATACACTCATACACTCACTCATATACACAGACACACACCCATACATATACACACTCACTCATACACACACTCACACATACACACATATATACACTCACTCATACACATATACACACTCTCACACACATACTCCTACACACTCATACACACACTCATATACACATATACACATATACACACTCACACTCATAAACATACATACTCACACACACATATGTACACCCCTACACACTGATATACATACTCATACACACTCATATACACATACACACCCTCACACACACATACACACACTCATACACACACACTGGAGTTTTAAAAATAAACATGCCAAATCCTGCCCCCTTTAACCTGGGCCTCTTCTGTCCCTCATAGGTGAGGACCGTGGTGGAGGCATGATGCAGGAGTGTGAAGTGTCTGGTCACATTGTGTCCGTGGGGGAAAAGCTCAGTTTCTCTTTTTTCTTCAGCCGGGGACCCCAGCCCATGGCACAGTGACACCCACAGTCAGAAGCCCATCAACAGACACCTCACTTCCTAGCGCTCGTGTGGAGGTCCGCCAATCTGTGTGCTGCTTAGGACCACACCGCTGTGCGCCCTCAGTTAACTCGGCAGTCCTGGGTCCATCTGCCTTCTTCTTCAGCCTCGTGGCGTCTTCGACTGGGTCCTATACACCAGGGATGAGCAGGCATGGTCCTGTCTAATGACCATTCCACATGAAGTGCACAGTCCCGCCTAGAAAGTGGTCCTGAGTCACCATTGATTTGACCATAGTGAGAGCCCAAAGAAGCAGACAGCTAGACCTGAGGTGGGGACATTCTTAAAGTCCAGAAATTCAACTGACAAATCAGTGGAGCTCGCCTCTCCCTAGGCGGTATCGGGTCACGTGTGCCTTCATGGTTGCTTCCAGCTGGCTCCCAAAGCTATCAGAGGCTATGATGCCAGTGAGCCCTGGCATTTTGTCCTTTGAAAGCTTAAAGGTTTGTGTGGCAGCTTCTCAATACTGGGGGGGGGGGGGGGGGGAGGGATAGTAGGCTGCCTGCTTCTGGTAATCCTGGCTGCGGGGTTCCTGTTGCCCGTTGCTACCTGTCTTTGTCCACCAGGGTGCAGTGTCCACTTTGCCTAACAGCTCCTGAAGCAAACCCCAAACTGGGTTCCTCGGAAACGATGACTGCTTATTTGACATTTAAGCCAGTGGGAGGTGCACATGTAACCCCACACGGTGTAGCAGGCATTTCAGAGGCCATGCTGTGCTGTGTGCCAGGCACTGTTTTCTGCTCTTGTGGACATTGCTGCTTGACCACCCCCCCCCCCCCCCCCCATTCAGTTCAACTCACCAACTGGATTTCACCCTGCAGCTTTCAAAATCTCACTTTAAAGTTTCTTTCCTGCGATACCCTGGTCGGTGTGTGTGACTGATGTGTAGAGTTGTAGGGGACACTTGCCCAGGCCACTCCGGGACTCAGAGCAGCAGCTAGGAGGGGGCTTCATGGATCTGTTGCTCTGTTTGTTTGAGACAGGGTCTCATGTAGCCCAGGCTGGCCTCAAATTCTCTATGTAGCCAAGGATCACTTCGAACTTCTGATCCTCTTGCCTCCATTTCTCCGCCACTACATCCCGGCGGCTGGTCCGTTGTTTTCTGCCCTGCATTTTATTCTTAGACCTTTCTGAGTGGGTCTTGGTGATCCCAGCAACTTGGCTGTTGAGCAGCTGGTGCGCCACTGTCTCCAAGCCTCACAAACACCACCGTGGATACAGTCTCAGCTCCTGAGCAACTATGGGCTCCTCAAGGACTCTGTTAGCCAAGTCATCCTGTGTGCTGGGCTGAGCAGTGGCTTGTTTGATACCCCAGAGACGGAGGAAGTCTCCCGATGCACTATGTAACTTAGACAGAAAATCACCTGCCCCACCCGCAGCGCTGCTTCTGAAGTAAGGGTCCACGTCCTCACGGGGTCCCTTCCTTTCCCTGCAGAATGTCTCCCGGAGGACATTTGAGCTGGACTACAACCAGGACCGCTTCCTCAAGGATGGGCTGCCATTCCGGTACATCTCTGGAAGCATTCATTACTTCCGGATACCTCGCTTCTATTGGGAGGACCGGCTGCTGAAGATGAAGATGGCTGGGCTGAACGCCATCCAGATGTAAGGAGGGGCACCTGGCTGGGACCCCCCAACACCAGTGCTCACACCTATCAGCTATTCCATTGCTCAGAAGTAGGAGAGAGCCCTGTGTGGGTTTCTGAGGGGCTTGTCTCGAGCTCAATTGGTCTTTCTTCAGATATGAACTGCTTCTCACTTGAAGCCAGGCATTGGTGGCGCCAAGGCAGGCTCCAAACCAATACAGAGAAACCTTATCTCAAAAAACAAAAACAAATAAACAAAAAGAAACAACAAACTTGAAAAGGCAAAGGTAGGGGACTGGTAAATGGCTCAGAAGGTTAGAGGTGCCTATTGCCAAACTTGACAGGTTGAGTTCCATCCTGGGGACCTACGTGGTGGAAGAGACTCCTGCAGGGTGTTGTCTGATCTACATGTGTAAACACACTCGTGTACACACGCGCGCACACACACACACACACACACACACACACACACGTTGGAGGCAGCCAGAGCTGCTTTGGGTGTTGTGGCAGTAAGCCTTGTGCTTATGTTTTTGGAACCCAACTTGCCTGACTGGTTTAACTTTTTGAGCCCAGGCTGTAGGTTCACACTCACAGGCGTGTCCCCATTCCATCTGATGTTGTGAGTTGACTAACAGGGAAGGAAACTGAGGCAGTTGACCACTCGGGGGGGGGGGGGTTTTGTTTCTTGTTTTGGCTTGGGGATTTTTGGTTTTTTGGGGTGTTTTTTTTGGGGGGGGTTTGTTTTGGGGTGTTTTGTTTGGGGGGTGTTTGTTTGGTTGGGTTTTTTGTTTTGTTTTTGAGACAGAGTTTCTCTGTGTAGCTTTGTAGACCAGGCTGGCCTCGAACTCACAGAGATCCGCCAGCCTCTGCCTCCCAAGTGCTGGGATTAAAGGCGTGCGCCACCAACGCCCGGCTTCTTTTTGCTTTTTTGAGTCAGGGTTTCTCTGTAGCTTTGGTACTCGCTCTGTAGACCAGGCTGGCCTTTAGAGAGCTGATGTGGATTACTGATACCATCTTAAAAGATAAAGGGTAAGAAAGCCTTAACTGGTTTAGTAGATACCTAGGGGGAGTCCCACTTATTCTGTTTCTATGGCCACCGGCAGAGTGAATCCAAGTTCACTTAACAGTAGTTGACACTGAGTTCTAGTGGGCTGTGGCCGATCGTTCCAGAGAATCCTACCTAGAACTGTGGGTCTGTGGGATGCACGTGGAGCTCACCCACCAGGCGATGGAAATGATGACTCGTGTCCCAGTGTGCATGACCACCACAGCTGGGGAGCAGGTTGATTTGGGTCATTTTACTTCCTGGCCTAGCACTCCTGACAAAAATCCTTTGTCTTCTTTTTGTTGTTGTTGTTTTTCAAGACCGGTTTCTCTATAGCTTTGGAACCTGTCCTGGAACTCACTCTGTAGGCCAGGTTAGACTCAGACTCACAGAGATCCACCTGCCTGTGCCTCCTGAGTGCTGGGATTAAAGGCGGGCGCCACCACCACCCAGCTGAACCTTTATTTTTTAAATAAATATATCTCATATTGTTTTAGCATGATAATTAGAGTTCATGTATTTTTTTTTCTCCTTAAAGTTTTCAGTGTGCTGGAAGATATTTTCTTTCTTTCTGTCGTAGTTTCTTTTTTCTGGTTTCTATTTTTTTTTCTTGTTTTTATTAGAAAGAAAATTATTTTACATGTCAATCCCAGGTCCCTCTCCCCGCCTCTGTCGTAGTTTCTATGCAGATGGTTCTCCTAGAGGACTGGGTTGGGGCTCCATTTGCCTGGCTTGCTCCAGGGCTGTGTTCAATCCTCAGGGTGACAAACTAGCCAGGTATAAAGTGAAGCCAAAGGAGAATTTGATGAAGAGAGGTGTACAGAGCTGGCCAAGAAAACCACCATAAATAAAGCCATCTGGGCAGTTAAAGCTGGTAAATACCATTCATGTCCCTCGGAGTGGTGTCTCGTATAAAGACCATCATTTGTAACCCTGCCAGAGCACAGACAAACAAAAATCTACAGGTTAACCTCGATTTCCACAAGCCAGTAAGCAAGAGAGAACAGAAGAGGTCATGAGTGGCCCCTGGACTATCTCCAGTGTGACATAGAGGGCATGCCCCTGCCTCTTGCTCTGTGTCACCCACCCAAGTACTAATCTGGCCTGGCTCTGGTTAGTTTCTGAGATCATAGGCACTCTGACGCTTCATTGCCTTATTGCCATAAACTGGGTATTAGTTCTCAATAATACTCCCACTCCTTTAAAAAAAGTTTTTATTATACCTTTACTTTGTGTGTGTGTGTGTGTGTGTGTGTGTGTGTGTGTGTGCATGTACACACGTGTGCACGTGCGGGCTACAGCATGTGTTTGGAGGACAGAGGACAAAGTGTAGAAGCTGACACTCCTTATACCATGTGGGTTCTAGGAGTGAACGCTTGGGGTCAGACTTGGCAGCAACACCATTACCCATGAGCCTTTGTCCTAGCCCATGTTTTGCTCTTGTGCCTGTGTTGTCAAATGGTCCTAGAGCCTGGGCTCCCTTCTCTTTCCTCCAGTTCAACTGCCACCTGTAAGGATTTTGGCGGTGTGTGTCTTCACAGGTACGTGCCCTGGAACTTTCATGAACCCCAGCCAGGACAATATGAGTTTTCTGGGGACCGTGACGTGGAATATTTCATTCACCTGGCTCACAAGCTGGGGCTCCTGGTGATCCTGAGGCCAGGACCCTACATCTGTGCAGAGTGGGACATGGTGAGTGTGTTAACACGGGGCTCTGCCTGCCTGGTGGGTGTGAGTAAGGCAGGAGTGGCTGACGAGTAGGGTGGGGTGGGACCTATGCAAAGCTGACTAAAGGAATCTAAGACTCAAAGTCTAGAGTGTGTGGTGCCAAGCCTCCACAGGTTCTGTTCCTTTAGCAAGGTGCCAGGCAGAGAGGAGCAGGCTTGAGCTGGAGCATGGGGCTGTTTCTTTGCCAGTCACATAAGCTGCTTTCCTCTGTCAGAGGCATGGAGTGGGTCTGCTTTGTCTGCCTTGTAGACTAGTTAAGAAATTAAGAGAAGCTGTGTGCATAACAAGAGCTTTGACGTATGTTACGTCGTAGCTCAGTGGTAGGGCACTTGCCTGGCATTTGGGAGCCACGCCATCAGTCTGCAGTGCTGCAAAACCAAACAGCAAGAAAACTGAAGAAGAAGGAAAACAGGAAAGAAAGGGAGTGGGGGAGAAAGAAAAAGAGGCTGGAGAGATGGCTCAGCCGTTAAGAGCGCTAGCTGCTCCTCCAGAGGACCTGGGTTCGATTTTCAGCACTCACACAGTGGTGCACAACCATCCATGATTCCAGTTCCAGGGGATCCAACGCCCTCTTCTGGCCTCTGAGGGCACTGCACACACATGGTGCACAGAAATGCATGCAGGGCAAACATCCATACACATAAAAAGTAAATAGATACATTTTTAAAGAGGAAGAGAAGGGCCAAGTTTGCTGGGTGTGGTGATCATGCCTGTAATCCAAGCACTTGGGAGCTGGAGGCAGAAGATGAAAACTCTGAGGGCAGCCTGTGCCATATGGGGTTCCAACTTTAGGCTTAGCTACATAGTAAGACTGTCTCAGAACTAAAGGGGGGGTGTTGATTCTCAGAACAATATCAATAAAGTGATCTTAATTTTCCTATATTCCAGTTTCCCAGAAGCCCAGGCCATTTCCCCCTCTGTCTTTTCCCTCTCTGCTGACAGGACTCTCTCAGCTCTTTTCATGACGTAGGCAGTCTAATGGCTGCTGTTGTTACTTTTCTGTCTTGTAGGGAGGGTTACCTGCTTGGCTGCTAGAGAAAGAATCTATTGTTCTTCGATCTTCTGACCCAGGTGAGTTACTATGGGAGATTGGACGGTTTATATCAAGAGAGCCAGGCATTTAAAGATAGGGCTCATTCTGTATAAACACCAGTTAGTGGAGAGTAAATCACCCTTCACCAGACAGTGAGCTTGCAGGAGACTCTGCCTCTTTTGTAGGCTTGAGCGGATCTCACTGGTAAGTGGGTCACTCTTTGAATTCGAAACCTGGTTAACCAGCTGGGCTCAATACTTGTTCTCTCCTTCCTACACACTTGGTATATTACACAGTCAGCTAGTCAAAATGGCAGGGTTGGTTCTGGAGTGATGTCACTAGGCTTCCTGGTAGCCATGCGTGTCTTCTGTTTCATTGCATTCTTGGAGTGATTTGTAAATGACAGCTTTCTATCTTATCTTTTAAACCACGGGAGATGGTTTTAGCTGTAAAACCCTAAATAGTCATTCAGTTGCATCTGTGTGTGTGAGAGAGAGAGACTCTCTGCGTTGTCCTCATACTATATGAGCTTCAGTTTATACTCTTGATATATTGTTGTTGTTTTCACATGGGTTGCCTCATGAGTCCCCAGGACAACTCTATGAAGCATGTGGTTTTGTCAGTCTCTTTTGAGGTTGTAAATACATGGTTTGTTAGGTGTTAATTTTGCCTGGGTATGGAGGCATAGACACCTGCAATCTCAAAGCTTGGAAAATGGAGGCAGGAGAATCAGGACTTCAAGGTCATCCACAGCTACATATTGGTTTGAGTCTAGCCTGGGCTATAAGAGACCTTGTCTCCAAAACAAGAAAAACCTTTATTTATTTAGTTAGTTTTGTTTTGTTTTTGAAACAGGGTTTCTCTGTGTAGCCCTGGATGTTCTGGAACTTGCTCTGTAGACCAGGCTGGCCTTGAACTCACAGATCCTCCTGCCTCTGCCTCCTGAGTGCTGGGAGCACATACCACCATGCTTTTTTTAATGTATATGGATGCATGTATGCATATGCCATGTGCACGTTGGTACCCACAGAATTCAGAAGAGGGTGTTGGATGCCCTGGAACTGGACAGTTAGGTGACATGTGGGTGCTAGGAATTCAGCCTTACACTCTCAGTATAGTTGTGGATGATCCTGAAGTTCTGAACCTTCTGCCTCCATGATGTTGGGATTACAGGTGTGAGCTTCCATGAGAAGCATAGGCAATGCTGGGATCAAAGCCGAGGCCTGGTGCAGGCTGGGCAGGCACTCTACCAACTGAGACACATCCTCACCCTACTGGGATCGAGAGGATGTGGCATTCAGCACCCCTCTGTGCCTATCACACATTGCCTGGTAGCCTGTGCTCTGAGCCCCAAGCAGGGTAAGTTTCCAGGGGAACTTAAATAACAGGACTGCCAGTGTGCAGGACCATGTCCAGCAAACTGTAGCTGCCTCATGTTAGAAGGCAATGGCTGAAGGCTGCAGGTTGCACAGGCATCTCTTGGCTTTAAAAGTCAGTCAAGATGGCTTAGCTGGCTTGATCCCTGAAGCCCACTCTGAGACTTGCACTCATGCATACACACGAGCACCGAGCACGCACACACACACACACACACACACACACACACACACACACACACGCACATACACTCTCACACACACACACACACAGAGTAGAATAAGCTGGTTAACAAAGGTGTGTGACAGTGGCCGCACCATCTTGTCTTGTAGACTACCTTGCAGCTGTGGATAAATGGCTGACAGTCCTTCTGCCCAAGATGAAGCCTCTGCTCTACCAGAATGGAGGGCCGATTATAACTGTGCAGGTACCTGGGGCTGAGCTTGGACATGGGAGAAGGGGAAAGCGGGGAGCAACTGTCCATCAACAGTATGGAAATGATTGTAGTGACACCAGGATGCAGTGCTAAAAGTAACACTTTCACTAAAATTGAATTTGGGGCAAGTGTTAACCTGTCTGTTTCTCGCTCTAGTCTGTCTTCTCTTCACTCTCTTCTCTTCTCTCTCTGTCTCTGCCTCTCTCTGTGTGTCTCTGTGTGTCTGTTTGCCTGCCTATCTAAAAATCTCAGACAGCTGGCAGATGGCAGAATTGCAATTGCATGTTTCGTCTGCTGACCCCATAGTGGATCTTCCTTGTGCCATAGCCTTTGATTGTAGCTCTAAAAGGCTTCAGGGTGTTTCCAAAATGGCAAGAGCAGGTGATAAATAGGGACTCTGATGTTTTCTCTCCCACTTCCTGTGGCAGTCTCTTTCCACCTGCTCTAGGCCCTGCAAAGATGCCTATGGGTGCATTGGGGCACATGGACCCTTGACTTTCAACAAGTGCTTGTAAGATTACACAGGTGAAACATGAAGCCTGGTTCAGTGAGCACTGGCCAAGCGTGTTTTTATTGAAATGACCAGAGTTGTATGGAACTGCCTGGGTCCTGGGATGCCAAGGGATGAAGTGTGACCCTCCCTGAGGAGTGTGGTTTGTATTCCCATTTGAGGGCTGCTGTATGGATGAGTCCTGATGGAGAGGGAGTGTGGCCGTCAGGTGGAGGTGGCATGAGAGATGGGGGAGAGTGCTGAGCGCATCAGGTGTCCACTGTGAGAGGCGAGGTGGCTGCTCTTGAGAAACATAGATCATGAACCCTAAGTGCCCCTTGTCAGCACCAAGAGGCCACAGCTTCCTGTGTGAATCCAGTGAGTCTGAAACGTGGGCATGTCTTTGTTCTGTGCATCTGGATCTTGTGTGTGTGTGTGTGTGTGTGTGTGTGTGTGTGTGTGTGTGTGTGTGTGTGTCTGTGTATATATGCATGTGTGTGTCTGTTGTGTCTGTGTGTACGTGTGTACAGGCTTATCTGTGGAGGCCAAAGGAGGATATCGGGTGTCCTGCCCCACTACTCTTTATCCAAGTCCTCACAGTCAGAAATTTCCAGACACCCTACTGTCAGTGCACTAAGGTTGCATGTGCATGTGGACATGCTTGGCTTTTCACATGGGTCCTGAGGATTTGAACTTGGGTCCTCATGCTTAGGCAGTAAGCGCTGTTACCCACAGAGCCATCTCCCAGCCACCTGGCTCTTCTTCCTTGGGTGAGAACCACTTCTCAGCTGCTTTGCATCTTGAGTCACTTTCGATTTCTGCTCACAACTTTCCAGCATCTTTGGGTTAGAGACACTTCATCAGAACTATCATCAAATACAGGACCTGGTGACACACTTAAAACCCCAGCACTTGGGAGGCAAAGATGGGAGGGTCGGGAGTTTGAGGCCAGCCTCAGCTACCTATTAAGTTCTTGGCCAGCCTGAGCTACGTAAGACCCTGTCTCAAAAGCCAGCCAAAGGCTTTTATCAGGCAGTCATTATAAATGCAGCTATTGTTTTAAGCAACACGAACAGAAGGATTGCTGCAAGGTGTGCAAGCCAGCCTGGTCACATAGGGAGCTCCAGGGCTATGTGGTTGCAGGGCCTTGCTGCACAAAAAAGGGAGGGTGGGTGGAATGAGGCAGTGTAGCGGTGAAGGCGACACTGCACAGGGCACAGGTCTGGCGGCCGAATTCCACCCCAGAGCCATGTAAATGTGGAAGAGAATTGACTGCACAAAGTTGGCCTCTGTTCCACAGGCATCCCGTGGCACTCTTGCTGCCCCAACATAGCGCGCGCGCGCGTGCGCACACACACACACACACACACACACACACACACACATACACTAAATATAAATTAACTTTTTAAACCAAGAAGTAAACAGCCCCTCTGTTTTACCTCTGCAGAAGGGATCAGAGTGCCCACTTTGGGGGCATTTCTTCTATCCATCTTGGCCGTTGCTCCTACCAGGCCACTCTGCCTTCTCCTGGTTCCCTTCCTCATCCCCCTCCTCTCCAATTCTGTCTCCTCCTGTTCATCCCCACCCCCCACCCACCCAGCCCCCCCCTTCACTAAGTTCACAAGCAGAGAAAACTGTAAGAAAGCAAAAAACCATGTGTCTGTCACTCAGACCTCAGGAGCCAGAAGCAAAGCTCGCCACACTTCAGGTGTTTTCTGGGAGACATTTTGTCTCCCCTGTTCTCTTCCTTTTTGCAGTGTATATTTCCTGTGTGGTATTTTCACTCCATTCACTTGTCAAAGGCCTTTTTCACATCTATAGTTCTTTGCACGTCAGTGGGTGGTTCCCTGCTTGACTTTCTGGCTGTTTTGTTTTGTTTTGTTTTGTTAAGGCATAGTTACCCTATGTAGCCCAGACTAGCCTCAGACCCAGTGATCCTCCTGCCTCATCCTCCTTGGCACTAGGATTATGAGTGTGGTCCACCATGCTAGGTCCCACCAGCCTTTATGTTAACTGAGACTGTAACTGAGTCTTGAACTCCTAACCCTCCTATCTGCCTCCAATGCTGTGATTACAGGTGCACACCTGTGCCTGGTTTATGCACGGCTAGGAATCCACACCAGGGCTCTTGTACCTACAAAAGTACTCTACCAACTGAGCTACATCCAAGGCACATCCCATTTACTTTTTGTTTTGTTTTTTCAAGACAGTGGTTCTCTGTGTAGCCCTGGCTGTCCTGGAACTCACACTGTAGACCAAGCTGGTCTCAAACTCACTGAGATCCACCTGCCTCTGCCTCTCAAGTGCTGGGATTAAAGGTGTGCGCCACCACTGCCAGGCTTCCCATTGACTTTTTTTTCCTTTTTTAAAAACAATCTTTTTTTTTTTAATTCTTTTATTAGTTCAAATTAGGAACAAGCTTGTTTCCCATGTCAATCCCTTCTCCCTCTCCCTCCCCTCCCCCCCAACATCCCACCTGCCCCTAGCCATTCCCCCTCCACTCCCCAGGCAGGGTAAGGCCCTCAAAAGGGGCTCCCCAAAGTCTACCACATCATCCTGGGCCAGGCCCGGGCCCTTCCCCATGTGTCCAGGCCAAGAGAGCATCCCTTCACATGGGATGGGCTCTCAAAATCCCTTCTTTTTTTTAAAGACCTTACATACGTAATACAGTGCATTACCCCTGTACAAATGGAAAAAAATTAAGTTCAACATTTCTAGACTAATATGGCTGTTAATTTTTGTACAATGCCAACTCAACACGGTAAACTGGGATACTTTTTTCCAAAGTTGACAGCACATCTAAAGTTTCCAAAAATTCAAATTATATATGTATATATATATAAAAAGAGCAATAATGGCAGTATGTTATGTATCAATAGCAGCAGCAGCTTTTCCAGGTTCTGCAGTCATTTGAACAAAATTGTGGAGACATCCAGCACACTCCATTTAAAAAAAAAAAAAAAGTAAAAAAGTAAAAAACAAAATCCCAGAAAACAGCACAGTTCTGTTACTCTTGTGGTCTTGTGGTATCTGGCACCATTTTTTTTTTTTAATTAGCTTCTCAATCATCATCTGGAAGGAAACCATTCTGACAACAACAACAACAACAACAAAGATACGAAACAGTGGCAGGGAAGGCCTCTCTGCGCACAGTGAAGCTGAAGTAGACATTCATTAGCAAGGGAATTCAGTTGGAAAATGAATGTGAAAGCATGGAGTATTTATAACAAACAAGATGTATTTAATTAACTGTGGATCAAAAAGGAAGTTGCAAGGGATATCAGAAAAGTATTTTTAATGAATAAAAATAAATACACATTAAAACTTACGCAGTGTAGCTAAAGATATGCTTAGAGGAAAAGTAATAGCTTCACCGTGCATATGTTAGGAAAGAAGAAAGGTCTCAATAATAAAACTCATTAATCTATGAAAAAACAATCTTATTTTACACACCAATACCAGTTCCCTCTCCCTCTCATCCTCCTGCTCCCCCTCCCACCTTCTCCCCACCCATTTACTTTTTTAAGATAGGATCTCACTGGGGTGGAGAGATGGCTCAGTGGTTAAGAGCGCTCATTGGCTGCTCCTCCAGAGGACCTCGGGGATCAATTCCCAGCACCCACATGGACGCTCACAACCGCCTGTAACTCCAGTTCCAGGGGACCCAACACTGTCACACAGACATACATGCAAACAAAACACCAATGCACATAAAATAAATAAATCAAGTTAGGCCGGGGGGTGGCTGTGATAGGTGCTCATCTCTCTCTCCCTCTGGGTCAAGAGGTAGTGAAGGCAGCATTAGGAAGGTTGAGAGCCACTGAGTTAGAGTAAAACTCATTAGTGTCTGGGGCCTCTGTCTCAGTCAGGGTCACTGTTGCTGTGATGGACACAAGAACTTAGGGAGAAAGGGTTTATTCAGCTTTTGCTTTCACATCACAGTTCATCAGCAAAGGAAGTCAGGGCAGGAACTCAAGCAGGCAGAGACCTGGAGGCAGGAGCTGATGCAGAGGCCATAGAGGAGTGCTGCTCCCCATGGCTTGCTCAGCCTGCTTTCTTATAGAACCCAGGACCACCAGCCCAGTGGTGGCCCTACTCACAATGGGCTGGGCCTCATCTCATCAGTCTCTAAGAAAATGCTGCTGGGCGTTGGTGGCGCACGCCTTTAATCCCAGCACTCGGGAGGCAGAGGCAGGTGGATCTCTGTGAGTTTGAGACCAGCCTGGTCTACAAGAGCTAGTTCCAGGACAGCCTCCAAAGCCACAGAGAAACCCTGTCTTGAAACCACACCCCCCCCCCGAAAAAAAAGAAAAGAAAATGCCTTACAAGCTGCCTCTCAGTTGAGGTCCCTCCTCAGATGACTCTAGCCAGCACAGCCTCCTCCTTGGGGTGGGGGGGGCTAGTTACTAAGGGGTGTACTGTGAGTGTGGGTGGATCTCTGGGCTTTTTTGCCAGTTTGTTCCTTTTGTGAGTGTATGTGGAAGTCAGAGGACAAGGTCCAGGATTGGGGTCAATGCATACTCCAGGCTAACTGGTTAGGAGCCTCTGGGTGAGTCGCCCACCCCCACCCCACCCCTTACCCCTACCTCCATCCTGCCATAGGAGTGCTGAGATTGTAGATGTGGGCCAGCCACCACTGGTATGGACCTTGGCTTGTGCAAGCTAGCTCCTTTACCTTCCAAGCCACCTTCCCACCTGTTTTGATTGACAGACTTGGGATAGACAAGCTTTCCTCTACTGTAGACGTCTTTTCCCACAATGCACCTGGTTTTAACCATGTGTACATCCAATTAGGCATAGGTATAAGATTGCAAATAGGGGATTCTTCCTAAAAAGTTTACTCAGAGGACACAGCTTGCTTTATTATTGCACATGCAATCCAAACCAGTTTAGGCTGGATCTGCCCCTGCCTCTCTTCCCGGATATGGGATGTGTTTTGGATGTGTGAACTAGAGTTTCCAAGGATTGCTAGGACTGTGTGGGCATCTGCTCCTTCTCATTCTGCTTTCTAAATACCCAGGTTGAGAATGAGTACGGCTCCTACTTTGCCTGTGATTATGACTACCTGCGTTTCCTGGCACACCGCTTCCGTTACCATCTGGGCAATGACGTCCTTCTCTTCACCACCGATGGGGCGAATGAAAACTTCCTTCGGTGTGGCACCCTGCAGGGCCTCTATGCCACAGTGGATTTTGGAGCAGGTCAGTGTTTGTGGCAACTAGAAAATGTTTATGAAAATTGCTTTGCTCATAATCACTATCAGCACAGCTGTGACTGAGAAGGTAGAATGAGACGTCTCAGCATTTCCTTTATCAAGTGAGCTAGTCAGCTTTGCAGGACTGTGACGGAATACCTGAGGTCACCAACTTATAAAGAGGGATGGTTTGTTTCGCGGCACAGTTGTGGAAGTTTCAGTCCACAGTCTGGCCTGTCACAGAGAGTCATGTGGGTGGCCCCGGGCCCTCTTTGAGCCAGTTTATAGATACTCCGTGGGTCTTTTGGACTTGAACCTCCTGTGGATTAGGAAAATGTCTATGATATTCATGTCTAGCAATTACAAACAGGAAAGGGAAGGGTATGGGAGGAGGCAGGGGACTGTCTCACTCAGTTCCAGCTGTTGTCATTGTTGACAGGTCTGTAGTCACAGCTGGCCTCGATTCTCTTTGTAGGTGAGGGTTATGGTGTGCTTGCTGCCCCTTCCCTGGTGCTGGGATTACACAGGCTTGCATCACTCCCCCAGTTTGTGTGCACACCCCAGCCCAGTTTGGATTATTACAGCAAATTAATGAACTGGATATAGCGGTAGACGCCCATTCTCTCTCTCTGAAGGCTGAGCCTGGGTTGCATGGTGAGTTCTATGCCAGGCTGAACTTCACAGTGAGACCCAGTCTCAGGAAAAATTAAAAGAAATAAACAAAAAAACTACTATACTCTTCACAGTTCTGGGTGCTGCAAGTCCAAGATCAGGGGTCCCTCGGGGGCAGTGCTGAGAGAGGACCCTCCTCCTGCTTCACATATCAGTTTCTTGTTGAGTCCTTAGGTGGCAGAAAGGGGTGAGGGGGTCCCCTCAGTTATGAGACATTAAATGCCATTCATTCATAGGGGAAGGGGAGGGGCTGGCTAAGTCACTTCCTGAAAACTCCACACCCATAAGACAAATTTTTCCATGCATTTATTTATATTAGGGGATCGTGCTCAAGGCATGCTCGTGGGGCACGTGTTGAGGTCATGGGACAACTGGGGAGTCATTTCTTTCTCACTTTGTATTGTGCGGGTCCTGGGGATTGAACTCGGGTCATCAGCCTTGGTGGCAAGCGCCTTTCTCCGACCCCTCTTGCTCGCCCTCCACTTCGTTGGGATTAGAGTCCAACTTGTGAATTCCATACCAGTGACGCAGCAGGCTGCTTAGCTTCTTTCTTATGCTGATCACTGACTTTTCTTCTCCCATTGTAATTTCCAGTCAAGAATATCACACAGGCTTTCCTAATCCAGAGGAAATTCGAACCCAAAGGACCTTTGGTAAGGACTGGGGGTGTGGTGTAGAGACGGCTGGCTAATACCAATCCATCACAGCTGTTCCCAGAGGAGGTGGCAGGCTGCACAGGCTCGTGTGCTTCTTTGGTGTTATTTTTTATTTTTGGCTCTGGGATGAGCAGCTGGTGGGACTGGGGGTGGGGGGTAGGGATAGCCCTTCTGGACTCATGAGTGACAGCTGGGGCAGTGACTATGTCTGGTATAGCCCAGGGCTCAGAACTCAGTGTGTAACCGAGGCTGACTACAAATAAACCCCTGAGCCTCCTGCATCCTCCTCTCAGACGCTGGGAACAATTGTGCACTGTCATGCCCAGATTGACGGGGTGAATGAAAGCCAGGGCTTCCTGTATGCAAAGGATGACAGTCCACTAACCGAGCTACATCCCCAGGAACATGCCAGTTGCTCTGACTCGAAGAGCCTAGGAGCAGCTGGGCCAGTCTGGTTCACATGTGTATTTTTTTTAAGGTTTACTTTTATTATTTTTATGTCTATGTACATGTGGGTACTCTCAGAGGCCAAAGGGGCATGTAGGATCCCCTGGAGCTGCCTGACATGGGGTCCTGGGAACCGAACTCCAGTTCTCTGGAGGAACCACCAGTGCTCTTAACCTCCAAGCAGTCTCCAACTTAACTCTTAACTCTCTGGCCTTCTCCACCCCGCTTGAGGGATCTGGTTGAAATGCAGGATCCATTCTGCAGGGCCTGGGTGGACCTGATGGTCTGAGAAAGCACCATGGGTGTGGTTTGGCTGAGCAGTTCTGGGAGGAGGAGGTGGAGGGGGCAGGACGACTGGACTTCCATCAGCCCCTACTCCCCTCTCCTCCCTCCTGGCCGCTGAAGCTGCAGTGTTGTTGTTTGTACAGTGTTGTTTGTACACGGAGCACAATGAGCTTTGCTTGCAAAAACAGCTCTTTGGAGCTCGGCGGAGCCTGCTCAGACAGGCAGAGCTATTTCCTGGAACCTCTCCAGGTTCCCTTTTTCATTTCTATGTTGAACTCATGGTAAGTTGCAGACAGACGGCCCTCTTGTTAGCTAGTGGTTCTCAAGATCAATATTCAAACAAAAAGAGAGTGAATTGTATGTAAAGGATGGATTTGGAGCTGCTTTTTGTTTTTAAATAAAGTGTTATAGGGAGCCCACCAGAGATGACCACTCAGACACAGCTTATATCCAGTTGAAAGTCTTTATTCTAGTTGGCTGGAACTACACTCAAGTACCGGGGACCTTAGTGTGGTCCTGACCATTTGGACCAAGGGGCTTTTTTTTTTTTTAATATTTTATTTATTTATTATGTATATAACATTTTGCTTCCGTGTATATCTGCACATCAGAAGAGGGCACCAGATCTCATAATGGATGGTTGTGAGCCACCATGTGGTTGCTGGGAATTGAACTCAGGACCTCTGGAAGAGCACTCAGTGTTCTTAACCTCTAAGCCACCTCTCCAGCCCCCAAGGGGCTTTTAAAGGCAAGAACCATACCTCCCACCTCGCTCAGCAGCAGCAGGAAGGAGATTTGTGCAAGCAAGCAGTTCAACAGAAGCTAAAATTAACTATTAGCTGCAGGGGGTTCTGCACAGGCAGGCAGTTTAACTGAAACTAAGATAAGCTGTTAGGTGCAGGGGGGATTTGGTCAAGCAAGCAGTTTAACAGAAGGCAGGATAAGCAGTTCGCTGAAGAGGGACCTCTGCACAAACAGGCAGTTTACCAGAAGCCAACATAAGTTAGCTGGGGCATCTTGGCCTCAGGGCCAAGAATAGAATTGGGTGATTTTCCACTGGATTCTCCATCGAGGAGATCAAATTCTAGTTAAACTGAAACGGCCTCAGCAAGAATACAAGATGGAGGAACTGCTACACTGTCTTGCCCTGTCACACGGGGGTTGATTGCAGGGCTTACACATGCCAAGCAATTTCTCCACCACTGAGATATATCCCCAGCCCTTGGGTTCTTGCGTTTTCATTTCCAATGCAGTCTTGCTAGGTGGCCTCCAGTTGGTTTCAGATTGATTAGTTATGTAGCCCAGACTAACTTTGAATTCATAATCTCCCTGCCTCAGCTCCCCAATTGCTTGGGTTCTATTTATACACCACCATGCCTGAGTGTATTAATTATTTACGAAAATATCTTGTCGGACTAAATGTTTTGGCTTTGGGAGGAGGAGGTTTAGAATGTGGAAGTAGCTGACAAAAAATGATGTAGGTAAACATCAGTTTACAAAAGAATCAGTTGTCCCCAGCCTGGAGAGATGGCTCAGTGGTTAAAAGCACTGACTGCTTTTCCAGTGGACCTGGGTTCAATTCCCAGCACCCACAGGTGGCCCAGTTGATTTTTAAGCCAGGTGGTGGTGTCACACACCTTTAATCCCAGCAATCCTAGCAATCCGGAGGAAGAGGAAGGTAGATCTCTATTGAGTTCAAGGCCAACCTGGTCCACAGAGTAAGTTCCAGGAAAGTTGAGGCTATCCAGAGAAACCCTGTCTCCAAAAGCAACAACAACAAAAGAATCAGTTGTCCAGAAAAAAAACCATGGGGACTGGATATTGGATGTGAGATTCTGAACCTCAGATACTGGAATCAGTAGCTGCTCAAGTCCCTTCTGTAAAATGGGTTAGTTCTTGTAGGCTTATATTGTACATCCTGTCGTAGGCTTAAATCCTCTCTAGGCTGCTTAAACCTGTAGTATAGGTGCTGTGTGGATATAAGGTCTAAAGCCAGACGCCTTTAATCCCAGCACTTGGGAGGCAGAAGCTGGCGGGTCTCAGTGAGTTGGAGGCCGGCCTGGTCTACAAAGCTACACAGAGAAACCCTGTCTCAAAAAACCAAATAAACAAATAAATAAGGTCTCATGCCGCCCAGGCTGGTCTCTAACTCACCATTTAGCTAAAGATTTCCTCCTGCCTCTACCACCTGAGTACTGGGATTACAGGTGGGCACCACCACACCCAGTTTATGCAGTACAAGGGATGGAACCCAGGGCTTCATTCATGCTAGACGAGCATCCTACCAGCTGAGCTACATTCCCAAATATTTCTGATTGGCAGTGGGTTGCATCAACCGTACCCAGCTTGTGTTGAGTAAGATGAGATGTCACAGTTGTTGGCACTTAGAGACCCAGTATAGACACTGTTGTGACCAGGGACACCTCAGCATTCTCTGAAGGTCATAAGTGTCTCTTAAGTGATGCCCCCTTTTCCCTTTTCAGATCAATTCTGAGTTCTATACTGGCTGGCTAGACCACTGGGGTGAACCCCATTACACAGTGAAGACTGAAATAGTGGCTGCCTCTCTCTATGACCTGCTTGCCCGTGGGGCCAGTGTGAACTTGTGAGTATCCACCCAGCACTGGGAGAGGGAGCCCTGTAGCTACAGCTCATAGTCAAGTACGTGTGTTCTCTTATTTCTCTGTAGGTACATGTTTATAGGTGGGACCAATTTTGCCTATTGGAATGGTAAGATCCGTTTAACATCCATTAGTAAAAGCTTATTGTCTATGGTGCATGATTTGGGAGACTTGTGGCCAATTTTTATTTTCTGTTTCCATTTGTCTTCTCAATTCTCTAACACATAAGATTTTCATGTGGGGGTTAAAAAAAAATTTTAAGGGACATAATTTGATCATTTAAGGGTCTGATTTTCAGTCAGGTCTCTCTGGTAGTCTCGTGTGGTTGTGTGTGTTTGTTTACATGCTCTGGGTGTGTGTGTGTGTGTGTGTGTGTGTGTGTGTGTGTGTGTGCATGTATATATGTGGGTGTACGTGTATGTGGAGGCCAGCGAACAACCTCAAGTGTCAGTCCTCAGGGACCAGCTATCTTCTTCTTTTTTTTTTTTGATGAGGTCTCTCTCTCTGACCTGGAACTTACCAAGTAGACGAAACCAGACACTAGGTCCTCCTGCCTCCATGTGTCTGCCTCCCCTGACATCTCTCTCTCTCTCTCTCTCTCTCTCTCTCTCTCTCTCTCTCTCTCTCTCTCTTTTACAATTTTTACATGTATTTGTTTTTGTGTATGTGGCTGTCAAAGAAAAACTCATGAGAGTTGGTTCTCTTCCTCCACCCCGTGGGTCCAGCTCGGATGCCTGGGCCTTGTGGGGCATCTTTACTCCCATCTTAATCCATAAAACTGATGATTTTAAATACTGATGATTTTAAATACGTATTCCACCAGATGTCCTCAGAGTTGTACAGTCCTTCCCCTCTGCTTCCAGAACACTCTCCCATCTACCTGAAAGAAACTCCACACTGTCACAGTCACTCCCCTCTCCTCCTCTCAGCCCCCGGAAGCCACTAAGTTCTTCCCTGCCCCTGGGGACTCTCCTGCTCTAGATAGTTCATATAAACAGAACCATACAATATATAGGTTTTAATCCGATTTCTTTCATTTAGCCTAATATTTTCATCAGTGTCCTTGCATGTATTCATACTTCATTTTTATCGGTAAATGATATTCTAGGGTTGGGGTTGTGCTCGGTTGCTGGGAACTTGCCTGGCATGCACAAGGCCCTGGGTTTGAGCCCCATGCACAGCCCTGAGATGATGATACACACTTTCATCCCAGCACCTGGGAGGTAGAGGTGAAAGGGTTAGAAGTTCAAGGTAATTTTTAGGCTGTATAGAGGGTTAGAGGCCAGCCTAGACTACTTGTGACCCTGTTTCAAAAATTAAAAAAAGAGAGTGAAAGAAAAAGTTCAGTCAGCACTTAGGAGGCAGAGGCAGGAGAATTACCACAAGTTTCAGGCTAGCCTCATCTACATAGTGAGTCCTAGTCTAGCCAGGGCTGCGTAGTGAGACTCTGTCTCAAACCAAAAACAATAAATCAGTAAAAGATAGAATAACAACAGCAACAACAAAAGGCGAGAGCTGTGCTCAGCCCTCAGGGCCCTGCCCTAATGTGTGAATAGAGATGTCTCCCTCCTCTCTCTCTCTCTCTCTCTCTCTCTCTCTCTCTCTCTCTCTCTCGTTCCCTTGTCAGGCTAATTCAGACAGTGGTTATTGTATTGGCATCACTTTACAGATAAGAATATAAGGGTGCCCCAGATCACCCCATACTTCCTGTTCAGAGCCTAGATTAGAGCCCAGGCTTCAGTGAGCCAAGGGCACTGCCCTTCGGATAACCCCCTACAGCCTGGAAGCCTGGAGGGAACCCCAAACCAGCCAGGCTTGTTCTCCAGGCCTCTGAAGCTGCTTTTGGCCCAGCTGGCCTGACCTTAGCAGCTCCCCTTCCCAGGGAGGGGCCTGTCCATCCAACCTTAGGGAATGTGCATGGCCGTTTGTATAGTGCCAATCCCCAACCCTATGTGTGCACATCTCA